TTATTTAATGGAAATCACATTCATTTCTAGTTGTCTTGCTGTTAATTTTAAATAAACGTAGAGCAAGTAGGTAATCAGTGTCTGCTTGTTTATTCAAGTGCTTCTATAATAGATGAATGTCACTCTGTATACGTCATCGCCTTCATCGCTCTGAATGGTTTTAGGTCTATCCAATTGCGCCCTGAGGCATTTGAGCGAAGTCCGTTGGTGACGCCCCTTTGGAAATGATTTGTCTATGAAGCTTTACCAGACCATAACTCAGTTACAACTGTGAATGGTGTGCTTTTTTAACCAGGCTACTTCAGCCTTTGAGCCTTTAAACGTTGACCTTCACATATCTTAATATTACAGTTCCTTCTCTATCCCTCCCTCACACCACTCTTTTCCCATCCCAGATGAGTGACTTTCTGATACTCCCATTTTCCTCTCTTCCTCCACTTTGTTATTATTTTTCTAATCAAATATCTGAAGGACATATGCGTGTACTTGTTTATGCCGTTATCAGTATGTGTTAAATGTTCAGCAATGAAGAGTGGTGACCTTAGGAGCAGGGTGGAGTGATTGTGATGGAGGACAGCGAGGTAAGAGAAGAGAGAAGGGAATGGGTGGGTAGGAGGTATAATGTTGCGTTATCGTTGCTGCTCGTTTGTCTCTGTCAGGTCTCTTGGCTGCGTCCCTGAACTGCTCAACTCTCCGCTTGCTCTCACATTTAGGCTGGTCTGTTATACATCCCTACAGCTTAACACTGACAGCCTTGCGCACACACTCTCGTGCACGATTCACGAAAGACATTGATTCTCTCTTTACCCTCTATTAGGATCCCTGTTCATCAAATCATTCAAAGTCATTCAGAATCATTCCAATTGGTTTTGTCTGATATGATGGTGGGTAGGGATGCACCAGTACCACTTTTTTCAGACCAAGTACTTACATTTGGGTCCTTGCTGATACCAAGTACCAATATGAGTAGTTTATAATACCATCACAGTTCTTCAATGTTTTATTTTCATCAGATATTTTTCACTTTCTGACTGTAACAAAGTAAATAGGCCTAGACAACTTGTATAATCAAAATGCATGTTAAAGGGGCTATTTCTCACCCTTCCTCTTGACAATTTTGCAGAGCATAGTTTGCAGTCTGCTCTACTTTTATCATCATCGCTTATTTATATCTTAAAATATCCCCAAACGCCTGACATTACTCCTCCTCCTCCGACTACCTGCTCAACTAACGAGAAGTTTGGCTAATGTCAGGTTCCCATTAGGGACCGTTGCTGTTCACATTACGTTTTTGCGTTATTTCACGTAAATTCGTTATTTCAAATGTCAGGCGCATGTCGTGACGTGCTTTTTTTTTTTTTCCAGGTGCGCTTGTGTTCATGGTTGCATAGCAACGACAGACTCCACGGGAGCGCGAGCGCATAAAAATGGTGGTTAGACAAAACGAAGTTCTTTTACTATTCTATTTACTCTTCCATTTGTTCTTTTGTCCGTAAACTCAGGCACTTAGAGTAAAGTGAATGGGCATCTGTATACTGTATCCAGACAACCTCTTTGATTATTATGGTTTCTATTTGCTTTTGATGTGACGCTCTCCTCCGGTGTCAGTCATTAAGCGACTGAATGCCAGTCTGAGGGGCTTATTGCGCAACGATGTAAACGTATTTGTCGATGTCCCACTTAGGATACCGTCATATGCAAAGGTATTAGCATGTGACGTCCCAAGTAATATCCAAATAAGCTGTTTGTGGAGCTTGATTAAGTAAATGCTTTGTTCATGAGGATGTTTTAAGCTCCGAGTGTGACAATTAACTTTTATTTACTGGAAAAAACTAAAAAAAATCTTTTTTTTTTCTTTTTTTTAGGTGGCACAGCTATTCCTTTTAATTTCTTCCCCTCGTCTGTCTGAATTAAAATATTAGTTTGAATTCATTTAAATTGTATAAATAATTGCAGTGGTCAAATTGTTTTTTTCATTCTGTCTTGTCTAGATTTTATTGGTTTTCCTTGTTGGTGAGATCACTAAATGAGCAGATGTGTGACTCACACACACAGTGCCCTGTTTTTTTATGTCAGATGTTTGTGGTGGTAGGGTGGAATTTTCCAGGCTTTTTTGTGGTTGATCTCTGCCCCTCTCAGACTCTCTCACAAACACGCTATGCCACCATAAAGTCAAAACATTTTCTCATCCTGTCGTCTTAAAACTATAGTATTTCTCCTCTATCATTCCCCTCGTGCCTCCTTTCCTCCCTCTACAGGAAGTAAAATGGTGGCATCTCCTCCAGGCTGTAATTACTGTCTGGTTCCAGTATTCAAAGCGAGCAATTTCCCCCACCGCATCAGGCCGCTGCTCTCTGCCATGTCCAATCAACATCAACACACATACACACAGAGGAGAATCCTCTCTCATCTGCATGGAGAGAGAGATTGTGCAGGTGCGCTCCTGTGGAAGAGAGGGATTGATGAACTTCTGACGATATCTGATCATCCTGACATTGCGCTTTGTGCGGTGTTGTTGCATATGTATTTTTGCTGCTGTTTTATCACCATCTGGTTTGTTTACAGTTGTGTGATTGTGACGGACAGCCTGCGCACATGTTCACCTAAGGCATTGTCACTTCACTTCTGGCCGTCTCGTAAAGATGATGTGATGTGATGTGGTGTGCGGCACTGCTGCTTCAGTACACTGTTTTGCACGTGTATCCTGCTCAGCGTCTCATGAGAGAGCATTTGGAATGTATGTGAAGAACTCCAGCATATCTGATCCACCTACACAGTCGGAGCTGTCGGATTACGGCGTGTCATCTGTGTTGGAACAATAAGCCGTTAGAGGGAAACAGCATTGTTTTCCTATTTATTTAGGCAGGTCATGCCGCCTATTCTTTGAGTCTGACTAATCGTGAGTCAGTCTTTTGAGTTCTCTTTCTGCTGATTTATAATGCACACTGCAAAATTGTAGGAGTGACGGCTGTGATTAATTGTGGGTATTGAATCCTGTACGGCATATAGGAATCACTCCTGGTGGTTGACATTTTGGCATCTATGGCTTGTAAAAAGAAACCTATCAAAAGTTCAACCTGTGTTAGCTGTTATGGCGCTTTTCCACTGTGTGGGTCGGCTCTGTTCGCTTTTCCACTGCATGGCACGGCTTTTTTTCTTTCAAGTAGTTTAAAAACACTTGCTGTTTAAATCTAGCGGATTTTTGGTGTCTCGTGTCGCAAATACAAAGATGCTAGTAGGGACTTTTCTTAGCCTGGAATGGATGATATTGTAAAATTGTTGTGCTAATCTTGTAAACTTGTTCAGAAATGGTGACAAATGTAAAAAAAAAAAAAAATCAAATTAAAAATAACATCTTTTTCGTTCGACCTCATATAAATAAACGAATATTCGATTTTTATGAGCCCGAATATTCAAATGCAATATTTTTGAAAAATGCCCATCCCTAATAATAAATATTTATTGAGCGCCAAATCAACATATTAGAATGATTTCTGAAGATTCATAATTAAGACACTAAAGACTTTAATGGCTCCATAAAAGTTCAGCTTTGCCATCACAGGAATACATTACATTTTTAAAAGATATTAAAAAGAAAGCATTTATTTTTGAACTATTGGTGGTACATTTAGGTGACATTTTTTTTTTTTAATTAATACAAGTTGTTTATTTCAGTTCTGAACGCACTATACAAATGTTTTATTTTATTTATTTGGTTGCCACTTCCTGACCTTTTTAGGGGGGATAAGAATATGGTTTTAACTCTCATAAACTAAAAGAACCAAACTGTCTTCGTACTGGATTAAGCACTCACAAGAGGACCGACAACTGAATTAAGATGCAGTGTGTATCTGGCCTGTATCCGTAAAGGACGACTGACTTTGTCTTTACCCCGAGGTGCTGTCAGATGCACTGTAAAGCTGTGGTAGGATTACTGTGGTAAATAAAGTTCTCTGAGGGTAAAGACAGAGTCAGTCGTCCTGTACGAATACATGCCACATACAGACTGCAGCTTAATTCGGTTGTCGCTCCTCTTCTGAGTGCTTAATCCAGTGCTCTCATACAAAGCCCTGAAGCACAGCGTCAGGGACAAGGGCCACGATAAGAGACCCCTCCACTACTTTAATTCTCTCCTGTTGTTTCATTTCTTATTTACATTACATACAGCCAGCTTTTCCCTTTTCCATGGCTCGGAGCACGATAACTGAACGAAAGAATTATGAAGGACATAAAAAATGAAGAGCAGGATGGTGGAAAAGCAAGAAAGAGGCTTTGCAGCGCTGCTTAGCATTTTCTAGCTCTCATTTTTCTGTCTGGCTTCTTGATTTGCTGAGGCCGTAGCTCATAAGCGGCTGCCGGAGTAGAAAGAGTGATTAGCCGCCTGGTCAGTTGTTTTTTGTTATTGTGGTTCTTTATTTATTTGAATGTCCCCACAAATTAGTGTCTTGACGTTTGCTGGTCAAAAAGCTACATTGGAGTTAATTGAATTATTAGTGTGGGAGAGAGAAGCCTTTTTTGTTTATTTCTTGAAATACATAATTACACACTGTGCTCACAGTGTCAGATGGAGGATTCTGAGGATTTTATGCTGCAGCTAATTGAATTATCGTTCCAGTACATAAAACTTTCTGTGATTCTTAATGCAACTGCTGTTCTTATTGTTCTGCTATGTTTGTGTATGGTCAGGGCTGCTTGCTGCACCATCATGTCGTTCCTAACCTGTATGACAAAATGACTTTCATTATATAGAATCGTTGCAGTTTAAAGTAAATAATGACTCCTTTTAGGTTCCAATTATAGTTATACAAGTTTGAAACTACCGAAAGGTTATTAAATGCTGACGACAAGTGTATTTATAGATGAACTACTACTTTAAAATGTGAACCTCTATTTAGTGACTTTAGCAACAATATGTGTGTATGTGCAACATTTTTTTTCTAAAATATGCTCTAAGTTTTTGAATGTATTATAATCTCTCTCTCTTACTCTTGTATTTCCAGTATAATTTTGTTGGGAGAATCCTTGGCCCTCGTGGTCTAACGGCAAAGCAACTGGAGGCAGAGACTGGCTGCAAGATCATGGTGAGAGGGAGGAGCTCCATGAGAGACAGAAAGAAGGTGAGTTACACACAGAAATATTTGATTTTGAGATTTTACATCTGTAAAAAGTTAACTAACAGCTAATTTATACTAAGATTTCTGTGCCCTAATTTAAACAAATCGACCAATGCTTCAAGGTGGTTCCCACAGCAGCAACCAGCACTGTTCAAATTAGCCTGTGTTGTATGTTGTTCTGATCTTCACTGTCCATTGGGCCATTTTCCATGCTGTATGGTTCAGTTTGATTGTGCTATTCTGAGAAAAAATGGCACCACATAATCAAAAAGCTGGGGCACCAGCATGGCAATTGACACACCTGTAGGGCATGTTGAACAAGCATGGACAAATGTGACCACTTAGTCACATTTTGGAGCTTCCTCACCCACCTCTTCCTCCTTCACAGACAGCGTTCTGCTGACGTTTGCCATTTGGAACCAGTTTGTCCTTAATGAGCCAGTTCGCTCATTTGTCCTGTCCAATGTCTTTTTTTTTCTCTCTCCACCACACACTCATGGTTAGCTCGCAGCACTCCGGCTGAGGCCAGTTCTATTTCAGGCCTGGCTGTGGTGTGGGTGTCAGAGAGAACAAAAGCACATAGTAGACGCACTGGAAAGTAGGACCAGATCTTCCCCTACAGTCTCACAAGAGACCCACTGTGTGATCAGCAGAGGAAGAGCTAAATCCTGAATGATGAAAAATCATGGCTTCAGGTGTAGGGATGCACCTGGCTCCGTTACTGCCATTTTTTCCGGATCGGGTATAGGTCAGACGAGGCCAATCCAAATCTGATATTTTGCTTTGGCCTATATACTGTTGTGTTATTGTTAAGCCCCACAAAAGTGTTCTGAAGCCATTATGTGTAATTTATAATGTGAGATATAAATGAATATTTAAGTAGGGCTGAAACGATTAGTCGACATTGTCGGCACCGTCGACAATAATAAAAATTGTCGACAAATGCCGTTTGATCTCACTTGACCTAAGGTAAGGGCGTGCAATATTGCATTTTGACCGCTACGACACTGTGGCGCTAGAGTGTAATGCAGCCCTTTACAAATGCTACTGCGGTAAAACAAAAAAACAGCGCAAACTATGACTGAGTGCAAACAAATCCGAACTAGCAAGTAGCAAGGTTTGGGAAAGTTTCACAAAACTTATAAAATCAACAATGTTGTCATGTGCAATACATGCAAGGCAGAACTTGCTTTTCACGGGAGCACAACATGCATGTTGGAGCACTTAAAGAGGAAACATCTCGGCAAAAGAGGAGCCGTTGAGAATTGAGTGTTCTCCAGCTGGAGCTAACTAACTAGTGGTAACATGAATCTCTTTATTAGATAATGCAATACTACTAATAATAGTAATAATATTATCAATAATAATATAATTACTCTAATGTGATGATTTATTTTGCATAGAATAAAGCTTAATCAAGCTTGGGAGTCAGGACTGTTTTTATTGTTGTAACACTATTAGCTATTATAGTCTTATCACTTGCCTGTATTTTGTTTCATAATCATGAAGACTTATAAAAGGAGATGTTAGGAAGAATACATGGCAGTTACTTTTTCTTTTTCATACTGTAAATTAAAAGGTGAATGAGAACATCTCTGTCAGCTCAATTGTCATATAAAAAAGGATTGTAATTTTATATTTATAATAATGGTTTGCAGATTATGGTTTGCAGGTTTGCTTGAAGTAAATTACCCTTTTTCTGTTTCAGTTCTAAGAAAAGCAGTGGGCCTATATTAAACAATGCTTAGAGAGCATTTGTGTGTGGTTTATAGTTGGACTGAAATCTGAAAACTTAAAGAGAATGACCTAGTTGGCTCAAATTTCATTAAAACAACTATTTCAAAAGCTTAACTGATTTTCTTTTTATATTATAGTAAGAATGTGTATAACTCAATGTTTTAATTAACTAATTGAAAAAGCTGAATCGTTCCAAACTTACTGATTAGCTGGCAAAACAATTGACGATTAGTCGATTAATCATTCTAATAATTGTAAATAAGTGTTTGTTGCCTACCCTATATTTAAGTCATTAAATTCAAGATTACGTAAACTTTTGCCTTCGCTGCAACTGTCAGTCAATCTCCATTCAGCATCAAACAGCGCACTGCGTTCGGGTACGACAGTCAACACGATGAAACTCTTAAGACGATGGAAAATCACAATGAAAATCTCTTAAGATGATTCAGTGTTACTGTTATTATATTTGATCTGTAGATAAAGGTCTATTGTTTCGCATTAAAACAACTCTATATTGCTGTATTTTATTGCTGTAACTAAATCATGTTATTTTCTACCGGGTTTCTGTTAAATCACAAAAACACTAGAGTAGTCAGAGCACTATAATTGTTCTTTATGGGCACAGTAACTGAAATTTAAAACTGTTAAAAGAAAAGGCTTAATAAACTATTGCATAGATAGATACTGTATAATACATCCAAGAAATGACTGATTCTGTAGTAAGCAACTGAGCTGATTTAATTCTAAAGTCTTGAACAACCCACAGAGAGCTTTTTGCCAGGAATCAGCAACATTTGTCTTGTCTAGCCTTCCTCTTTGTATCTCAGTCAGCGTCCCAGTGGAGCTGTTTTATCAGGAAATCCCCATCACTGTGCATTAGCATTACCACACACACACACCTGGGCCCCAGCTGTGCTCCCCTCTGGAGATGCCATGTGTGAACTAAAGGGCTTGATGCAGAAAAGGTTTAATCCTAGAAAGAATTTATATTTCCTCTATTAAAAGTATTTCTGTTGTAGTTATGTCTTCAATTGCGCTGCTGAATGCTGTTGTCTGGATGACTAATCAACACAGATTGAGGTTTGAGGTTTCCTTACAGAGTTTCTCAGAATAGTCTCCTGACTGACTCTGTCATATCCTTTTCCACCAAAGTATTGCTGATTCTTGGCTGGGGTACCTATGAATATCCTCCAGTCATCTCTACCTTATTCAACTGCAAGCTCTCATTTAGATCTGCCTCTATAGAATCAACAATCAGTGGATAGAACCAAGTCCTGCCCTACATTTATTTAGTTTTTGATGCTTTTTTTTAACAATGATGTAGATCACAAAACAGAAGAAAAGATCTGTCTGTGCTTCCATTTCACCATACCTTTAACATCCAGAATAATTTAATTCAACAACCTTTTGCGGTTTTAGTGGCCAAATGGTTAGAACAGGACAGTTAGAACGATGTTTCAAATAAACCTGGATGGTGAAGAGAAACATACTGTTCTAAAAATATGATCTATCATCGCCATTGTCCATTGTATGTTTTCATGCTTTAATGTTTCAATAGTGAACATGAGAGACATGCACACTGGAACTGCTAATTGCGAGTATATTTGGACCTATCTAAAGAGAGCGACTTGAGAGAGAGAGACGAGTCTGGGCTCAGGGTGTTGTTTATTTAGCGTCCATTAGAAAAGCTGTTTTTGTGCTCTCAATAATTTAAGTGCTGCTTTCTCTGGGGACAGAGAAGAGCAATGGAGATGTAGAGAAAGTCATGAAAAGAGAAAGGAGTGGCTTAAGTCCCGACTTTGTCGCTGCAGGTCGCCAGTGGCTGTGCTGGAGGGTGTTCCCACAACTGGTTGCCTAGTAATGTTTGTGAGTGACATTCACAGATGTTACTCTGTTAGACAACAAATACGTTTTCTTACCGCTACAAACTAACATTTTGGAAGGATAAGTCTAAATATAAATGGAATCAGTACATTAAATGCATAATATTAAAGATATTAATATTAAACGAGAAACAGTGAGTGCACTTTGCCATCGCAGTTATTTAACTTCAGCAAACGGGCAAATACCCATCTATCTGGGTTCCCGAAACCATTCAAGCACAGAGTCAGTACGGTGAATACCACTGTATATACACGGATACCAATAGGAAGGTTTCTGACTGCTAAAATGAGCTTCTCGTTCAACTTGCCTTGGTCAGACTCAGCATTGAAGAGTGATGCGCTCCACTGACTTCACTCCAATTGGTTGTCGTTCCCGCTCTTTCATTTGCATAAAGTTAAACTTTATGGTCACTGCTGCACGTGTCGCCAGAAATCGCCCGCTCCCCATTAAAATGAATGGGATTGCTTGTAGTGTGAACAGGGCTTTATTCAAAGAGGTACAGTGGGAGTCTTTCTCATAACACAAGGTTTGGTTCCAAGTCATTTTTGGGGATACGTCAGTGCATTGAGTTGTTTGTTAGTGATGTGTTTTAATGTTTGCCCCTGAAAATAAAGGCATGGATCACCTAAAGTCTCATGAGAAAACGCTTCATTAACCTTAAATCAGACTGACATTTTATTTAGCAGCTCCCCGAAGGTGGTTTAACCCCATTTACCCTCTCAAGAACTGCGTACACACCAGTTCACACAGCCTCAAGAGACACTACGTCCTTACGCTTGTTGTGTGTGCGTACTGAACCTGAGCTCAAGCAGATGTAATGGGTGAGGACAGGACAGACAAACTCTGGATAATAACCTGTCCCTCTGTGTAGCCTTGTCCTCTGATCAAACGCTGTTCAAATTGAGGACTCTCAGAAACCACAGCATGGATCAAATGTAACAGACGGCCACCCTCACCGAAGCATCACAGAACCTCTCCAAAGAAACAATATAGTCTCTCTAAAGCTTTTTTGTTCTCCTCTGTCCTTCCTCTTTTTAGTTTTTACTCTTTGAACTTCATTCAATTGACTCTCCTTTTTATTTTTTTACACCTGAATCGTAGCACAAATTTATAATAGGAAATGGGTTCCTTAAAGTTCCTTAAACGTTGACTTGTTTGCATGTATCGCCTCAGATCATTTGTGTTTGAATAGCGTGCACTCTCTGTGGGCGTGATCAAATTTAAAGATAATGAGCTGAAATGAGAATGACTGAAATCTCTCTCTTTTCATATCGATTACATAAACAGAGAATATTTGTTTTGTTATGAATTAGGACACATTCAACTGTATATTTTTTTTTCATATTTCTTAAGTCTGTATGACCCAAAATTATTTTAAGTCT